ATGATGGCTTGATGCCCTCGAGTACCCCCTACTTTCATCTTTGCGTGGCCTCATTAAATGTTTCGTCTCACCATCTGTGACGGGTGCTTCTTGCTTTTCAGGCGTTTTTTTCACAGCTTTTTCCTCTTTGCGCGTCTCCGGCTTGTCGTTGTTCTCGTCGTCTTCGGCCACCATCTCCGCCATGAGGATGAGTTCTGCCTCGTACGGATCGGACGGGATCTTCTGTTTGATCTCCTGGATGGTTTCCACAATGCGCTCAGCACTGTCCATCGTCACAGGAAGAAACATTGGCACAGGAAGCTGAGGTAGAAAGAAAGAAGGAGCTCTTGAGTGGGATTTTAGTAAGGGCAAAAACAAAGCTGAAGATTAGAGGAGTGTGTAATGTAATTTATCCATGGCAACCGCCTATCCCAGCTGCCATAGGGCAAGAGGCAGGGTACACCGCAGACAGGTCGCCAATCATTTGAACATCCTGTCTGAATCAAAATGCTGTGGGTCACGGGGTCACGCCTATGGTTCATGTGTAAATATATATGCCCATTTGTTGAGCTACATGTTTTACTTCTTGCTGTTGTTTTTGTTACAGTGTTACAGTGCACGGTTTTGTCACAAGCATGTTAACAGTATCCCAAATAAAATCCATGTTGATCTTAATATTCCTCATTTTAATTATTCTAAATAAACCTTAAAAAGACAAATGTAAATTGTAAGACAAAAAGTCATGGGAAAACTTTGAATTAATTAGAAATAATAAAGTTCCAAGGTGGTTGCATTGTTAGACATACAGGTAACGGCAGGCCGACAGGCTTGGGAGTGCACTGGCTGTACATATTCATGGGTACAGGAAGGTACACCGGCACAGGAACAGGCAGGATCACCATTTTTGGGAAGATATCATCTACAGAGAAAAAAAAAAGGGAATAGTAGGTGTGATTAGATAAGAACATGGCACAGAGTTTGCTCTTGCAGTAAGTGTGTTTAAAGAGGAAGCATGTACAGTGTGCAAAGACAAACAAATACTTTACATTTAGTCTTGTCTGTAAAATCGTGAGTATACATTAGTGCTCTGCCCAGAAAGTTCAAACTTCAAAGCATCAGTTAAGCATTTGAATAGGATTCCTCTCCACAAGCATTCGCTGTCTTCATAACAACATAACCTTAGCTGATTATGACCCTTACCCTTTAACCTGTGTTTGTGCCCCGAGTGTTAAACGCTGTGAAGTGCAGCTAGGAGCAGTAATTCAGCTGTAGTCAATCAGATTGAACAGCTATTTGAAGCTTTTTAAACACAGAGTAAAGCGGAGGTGTTGCCCTGACAGAGACACTGCCTGTGTGCTTCTTTTACCCGTCTGTGCCTCCACGTCGACCGTCTGCGTTTTGCAGGAGACTCCTTTGTTCTGCACCAGCGGTCTACACAGCAGAGCCTTGTTCTTCAGGATTTTAGCTGGGGGAGGAGGATGAGTCTTCACCGTTTCGGTCTGAATGCTGATCTGAAGGACAGAAAAATGACAATAACATCTCTAAAGTTACTCATCTTTAACACTACACAGGCTACTTCCTTCAAGCTAAAGGTGACTGAACTAAATGTCCCAAAGACTTCCTTTTAAAAGCACAAGTGTGTCATTTCACCTAAGAAATATATTTTTCATAAACATAACTTACACTGAAAAAAAAGGAATTGGAAAAATACAACTGTATACAAAAAGAATAAATGAATTAAATAATGTACTTACGTGTCCAGAGGTCTTTGACTGAGAGTTTGATGCTGTACCTGCAGAAAAAAGGCAAAATATGAAACTCGTGCAGCTACTGATGATTAACAGTACAAAATTATTTATTTTTAATATCTCGCGTGTGTTCGTTTTTGTTTTGTACTTTGTTGGACACTTCTATCAGAAGTGTTAGGTTTTCCTTTTGGCGTGCCAGCGAGCGAGATGACGTTGGCGATCACAGGTGTGGCCTCTCCTGTGCAGGCTGAAAGCAAAACAGCAACAAACTTAAAACGTCTCAGTAGGAAGTCGCTCCCGACTTCTTCCTAAATCCTCAGAGAGAGGCACTCTTGGTCTTACTTCGTGACCCAGTTGCAAAACATTTATTAGTTTTTTTTGTTTAAGAATTAATTTAAATCTATTAAGGAATAAGGAAATCTCGAGTTGTGCACGACTAGTAAACATTTAGCTTTGTTGCCTTAATAGTTAGTACCAGAAATATTCATATTTTATTAAAGAACAACAACAGTTAACAGCTGGTGTCAAACAT